ATCAATTTAATAAATTCCCTCTTAGCTGACAGAAGAGTTGTTTAATTTGCTGCGATCACCATCACTATCAAACTGTTTAACGAGATTCAATGCTTTTATCTAAAGTTTTGTCTGAAAACTCTTGGTTATCTTTAATGGGTTTCTCTCTTCTTTCTCCCCCCCCCCTTGCCCAGTATGAGTGTTTTTCTGTGGTTGTAAAATAGTAAAATAAAACACAGAATAAAAATACAAGGGAATATCCATGTTGCTTTCTTAGCAAACAAACTGCTGTAGTTCATCACTACAATTTTATGGGACTTTTTTTTTTAACTTCTCAAGGAAAGCTCTAAAATTGGGGTTTTCTAACAATGTCCTAATACTAACCAGGTCCCATCTTGCTTCACTTTTTCAAGATCAGCTAAACCCAGCTAGATGCTAGGTGTTGCCATCTACTGTAACATAGTATCTGGCACACAAAATACTACTTCTACTTTCTAGGAGAAAGGATTTTGTTTGATGTTGCATAGGGCTAATCACACTTCTCTCGTGACTAGCTAGAGCAGCTTAGATTACTATATATTCATTCACTCTTATTTGTGTCCTAGCTATTCTGGTAGTTTGGAATTATGGAAGGTGAAAGTTTAGAAGGAAAACATTTAGTCCTATGAGACTGCAGTCTTGCACAACACTTGAGATGCTTATACAATAGCTGATGACGTTTTGTGATTATGTAAGTTGTTTTTTAATTAGGAGGGCATTAAAACCACAGCACGATTGTGTGGTGGTACCCGTTATCTGAAAAGGCTGCCTAGACCTGAATTAGCCGGGAGGAATGATTTGTCTCAGTGAGGTATTTCTTGGCACCCTGCATTCTTGGCAGAAAGGCCTCCTTCAGCTTTTGCAAGGGCCAGAGAAGGCAAACACAGCAGGCCCAAGTGAAACAAAATGGCCTCTTCACTTTTCCCTTAGAACAGAGATGGCAATGTTGCTTTGCAAATTCTCTTTGGGTGGATGCTTTGCTTGAATCCTCCTTGGATAGCTGCACAATTATGGTAGTTATTGATGTGTTTCTCTGCTTTTTTAAAGTAATCTAACTCGGTGGTAATCACCATGCCTAGAGTTATAAAGAAACGGTGCTTTTTGTCTGTCCTCAATTTCCTGCCACTCAGCTTGACTCAATGATCTTGATTCTTGTATTGCTGAAAAACCAATCTTCTCCTAACCATCATACACATCTTCTCCTAACCATCATAAATGGTGCCTTGGTCCACAAAAGGTGGCTGCTGCTGCTATTGCTGTATGGCAGTGTTTCCCAAACTTGACAATTTTAAGGCATGAGGACTTCAACTCCCAGAATTCCACAGCCAGCAACGCTGGCTGTGGAATTCTGGGAGTTGAAGTCCACTTGCCTTAAAATTGTCAAGTTTGGGGAACACTGCTGTATGGTATAAGAAGGAACATTCTTTTCTGTGCATGCCTGAAATGCCTCCCAGGACACTGGAGACTATGGCCAGGTCCCAGCTGACTTCTAAGTATGGTACAAGCATGTCTCGGCAACCTCTTCATTAATCCCAGTTGAAACAGGTTTCAATTGTCCTTAACTATTTCAGTGCTGAAGTATTTCCTCACTGCTGCCAGAACTTCTAAGGCAGGCCAAATCCGATGTGCTGTGCTGAATGTGGAAACAGCCCCATGACTATTATTAATTCAAGTCTTATAGCCATCCTTTTTACCCAGATGAAGCTAAGTAGCATACAGAGATTAAAACCAAAGGAATACTATCATTTATAAAACAATATGCAAAACCCCAAAATATTCTACGTGCCTGATGTCAAAAAACTGATTCTACTTTTTCACTGAAACGGTATTTAAACAGCCAACCAAAATGTCTCACTTGTCCTCCTTGTCCAAACACCTGTGGGGACATCCAACAAAGTTGAGGCCATCTAGATCTCCAGAAGGGAAAGCACAAGACACTCTTGGGTCCCAGATGTTTTAATGGATGAGACCTTGAGTCCCAATTAAAAATGATCCCAGTTATTTCATCGAAATTACCATAAATCAAAATTTATTTTTACTCTAAAGTTACCTAGTTGCAAGAACAACAATGGTAGCCTCATAGCATCTGCCTTAATAGATGTTGTTATATTGTAAATCTGCCTATTTTGCAGTCCTCAACTGAAATGTACCTATGGCAAGTCTAATAAAACCAGGTCACCCTTCATTACACTTCAGCAATAACAAACTATTTCAGCAAAGAATCTGCTTTCACTCAAGAGTTCCTATCTGACCTACAGTATATTTTGGTATTGCTATCTGTATGTCAATTAAAGGTTCCATTCAGGCAATACAGTTAAGAATAGTATTTCCATCTTGTGATCTCGAAACTCATTTATATTTAAAATGTTTGCTTCCAAATGATATCCCAATGAAATTCCAGACATTATCTTTCCTCTACAGCCACATCACCTGCACCTTTCAAGGGCTCCAATTCTCAGAAACAGTTTTGGGGAAGAGGGAACAGAGGGCTACAGCGAGGAGAAAGGATGGAAAATTCCCACTGCAAAATGTTTTGAGTGGCTTTGATAGCAATGAATATTTCAGTTATTTGGCTTATAATAATTAAAACTATAATGCATTTTGAAACGTATGCAACCTACTGTGTCAAACTGAACACATACCAACCATGTACGCTGGTCACCCTAGAGCTGTTATAAGGAATTCAGTTGAAATTAAGAATTCCATTTCAGGAGCTTCATGACATTGAAAGAGTTAAAAGAAAAAAAGGCCCACCTGTCAAGCCAGGTTATTAGCAAAGAAAATTAAAAGCCCAGGAAAATCAACCCTAGTAGCTAATTCAGAGAGTGGATTTCCGTTGTCAGGGGGAGGGCAATCTCTGTTGGCCCAGAAATGGGCCAAAAGCAGAAAGGCTGGAGCTTGGATTGGAACAGTAAGTTATGATTTGCAATATAGAATGTTACATTTTACAGCCTGTACATTTCTTTTAAGATCTTGAGCTGGAAGGAGCAACCGTCTGTCTCTTTGGAAAGTTAGCTGCCCATTCCTCCTCTCTTCAGTTTTCTTCTAGGCCTGTAACATTGTTATATATAACTCATAAATATCTAAAAAAATGTTTGTTCTGGGAAAGGGATCTAGCCTTCAGTATACATCTCTTACTTCTTGTCAAGGAAATCAGTAGCAGAAAGTAAAATGGCTGGTGGCTGCATACTTAGCCAGCTCACCAGTAGCCATGGAAGAAAAGCTGGGAGGCCCTTTGTGGGAATCAGCAGAGGACCAAGCCACCACATTCTGTGTAGTCTGCCTTAGGCTGTGAATTGTAATTTGCTAGAAAATTAATTCAACCAAATTTAGCAAGAACGACATCCATCCCAAAAGATCTGGGAACAGTGATCCAATGAGAAAAAATAGTAATGACTGAGATGCAAAATCCTATTGCTTATAGTGGATAATCATTAACACCTATTATAATAACTGCTCGCAACATGCTGCACAGATCAAGTTAATAAACTGTGAGATCTTAAACCACTCTATCTGACATTGACAAGCTAAATGAGACTGTAATTCTTATTGAACATCAATATATCACAAGGAATGTACTTATACAATAGTACATATGGGAATACTTTGATTCAAGAAATCTAACATAGAGCCGAAGAGCCAACAACTTTCAGTTTTAAGAATTTAAAATAGTATAAAATAGGTAGCAATGATTAGAACTTTATTTATTAAACATGGGAGTAATAGATGAGAAAAATTAAAATAACGGATGTCTAGATAGAAAATGGCAAATAGTCTGGGCATAAACACAATATGCAGGAAGAGTTAGTTACAGACTTAAGAGACCATAAAAGTCAGGTGTCTGAAATACTTATCATGATGCACAGTGACATGCAAGAACGAAAATCCAATTTCTAAATTTTGTGGTAAATCTCTGGAGAAGTTGCAGCAGATAGTTAAATAACTAAAAGTCAGATTCCTTCGAAAATTAGTAGCAAAATAGCATTTTTAACGATTTACATTTTTTTTTTCTATCATATAACTCATAAAATGATTGTGATAAAAATGGAGTAAATAAATAAGCCTGAAATAGGTTTGTATATAGGTGGTCTGGGAATTTTACTCAGTTCTGCTTCACAAAACACAATTCCAAGCTTAGTATTCTTTACTTCTAAGTGTCTGTCTTTTGTACTGCCCTTTGATAGTGAATCTGAAATCTGTTGGTGCTCTTGTGACAGAGTAAAAGGAAAATATTACAGTTGCCACTATGAAAAACCGGTGGTAAATTCAATGTATAATTCAAAAGTGGTTTTCATTTAGACGCAAGGCACATATTCCTGCAGCCAGATTTTTGATTCTCAAATGATATTCTACATTAGAGGAAAGCTTCCAATATGTAATATGATTATTTTATGGTATGTGGCTGAAAGACTCTCAATTAATTTACATTTAAAATCAGAGCGCCACCTTATGTGTGTCGATAACATGATAAGAGAAATCTATCTGTTCTATCTGTCAAATCCAGGAGGCAGTTATCTTATTTCAAGATGATGTTACTTTCAGGTACTTTGATCTAAAAGATCCCCTAGGACAGTGGTTCTCAACCTGTGGGTCGGGACCCCATTTGGGGTCGAACGACCATTTCACGGGGGTCGCCAAACCACGCTGTCCGCCATTTTTTTCCCTTTTCCCTAGCTGTCCTATTCCCTCTTATTGGTGGCCACACCCACTTGGGAGTCACCACAACATGGGGAACTGTATTATGGGGTCACGACATTAGAAAGTTTGAGAACCACTGCCCTAGGAGCTTTCAGAGAATAAAGGAAAATGTATGACATTCTAATAAAAATATAATCAAATGTCAGGTCTACTCGTTTTCCATACCATGAGTCCCTTTCTGAGTAAGCATAAGAAATTTCCAGAAGATGCTGAAATCTGTTGACATTGTCCCCCCCCCAACCCCACCGCTTTGACTGCTGAAAAAGCAGGCTTACACATGAACGTACCAGGTACATCTTTAATGCCTTAGCTTTGTGTTTTCCAAAAATGAGCATGGGGTGTGCATGTTTTAACTTTGCAATCTGTGTATGTACAACTGTATTTGCATTGACGTTAATGATATTTTTATAACTCAATATGATGCATTTATAAAATGAGTTTATCAAAATACACTAGTTAATAAATAAGTCCAGCCAAACCAACCTACTCAAGAGTTAAAATTACCTTTGGTAGGCTTAAATGTGGTACATAGTCCATTATGACTATTATGCTCATTCTTTTACTCCCCCCTACCCCTGGATGCTCATCTTTTGACTAAGGAAGCCGCATTCCTGACAGATTTCTCATTCCACATCATCTTCAGCCAAGCATTGCGCACTTACAATTCTCTGCAAAATAAAATATAGGAACTTTAAAATGAAACCGTTAATGGCATATTTCTCCAATTAAGCACATTACTGAGATCAGTTACAATCTCTAGCTTTTGACAATGAACCTCCTTCAAAAATCAACATCGGTAAGTAACAGCATTTAATATGCAATTAAAAGTATTTAGAGAAATAATGAACTAAGACAAGCAAACAATTATAGGAGATCTTCATGGTTTGCTGTAGTTTTGTTTGCGGAGGCAGCTGAATTAATTATACCCAAAATACCTTTCTGACAAGACAATAAACTTTAAATAAAGCTGCACATTGATATTTCTTAGCCACATGGCTCACGATATGGATCTAGTGGGCACATTTAACCAATAAATCATGCTCTGAATGCACCACTGGAAACAAAAAGTTATTCAACTTATTCAGAAGCCTTTCTAACTTATCATAAGCTATGGTAGCTATTTCACTTTAAAATTTCTTATTGTGCAAAACTAAAATAAGCACACATGTGGCAGGAAAAGAGCCAAGATATTTGAATATGTTTCTTGCAACTATTGCAAAAAGATCTAATACAAACTCAACTACTTTATGGGTAAGTTTCATATATCCAACAACCTCTAGAAATTTGTATTAAGCATATTTTTAGCAGCCTGAACTTTATCTCAGCCTTCCTCAAATGCTTTTGGACGTGCCCAATTTTTCTTCATTTTTGCTTGAGTTATATTACTATAATAAATATATCTATATTTACTCATAATTTCTTTAATAAAATTAGTATACAGGACTATCAGGTTTGGCCCAGCATCAAACCAGTTCAAAGAACAAACTGATGTAAAATCTAAATTTAGTTAATTTTTTCTCAGAGCCATTTGGAAAGTTGCTCCTTGTTTAGATGGAAATGCTGAGAATTTCAAGTAGGGAAAACTAAATTATGCCATGTCAAAATATTTTTAAGAATTGTTTTATCACATTCAAATTACAGATAAATGTGAATTATGACATAATCCTTACAGATGGTTCCACAATGGAATGCTGAGCTATAGCCTCTTTATAAGAATAATTTATAAATAGCATAGATAGTCAAATTTCAGTTCTGACATGGGACCAGAACTGTCTGGAAGGAATAAGCTGTGATCACTACATATAACCTCATCTACTTCAATTCTGGATCTGATCTTAATGGATTGAAAAACAATACTGATGGGATCAGGAGAAATAATACCGATAATTACTAATTTTATTTCATAAACCAAATGATAAAAGAATTTCATACCTGACTAATTGAAGGAAGTTTAGTAAGAAGCATTTGGAAAACTGGTGGTGGAAGAGTCTGTTGGAGAACTTGTAGTAATTGCTGAGGTTGTCCACAGACAGCAATGGCATTTGTTAAGTGATCAACACCTTTTTCATATTCTCCTGAATAAAAAAAAAACAACAACTATATTATAGTGACTAAAGATTAGGCATAATGATATTTAATGAAGATTTAAAACTATTCTATTGGATAATTTAAAAATTCAAATTATCTCATCAAATGAAATAAAATATCTGCATGCCACATCGAAAAATTTGTTAACAAAAAATACCCTCAGTTCAAATCACTATCCTAGAATTTTCAGGCTTTATTCTCCTGTTACTGGCATTCTTGATTTATGAACTGTTTTAGACAAATTTAGAAAAACAACATACAGTATATTAAAATGACTGTAAATTTAGAGATCTATTATTTTTACTTTTTTTTTTCCAACTCTCAAAAAGTAATTTGGCCTGCAGTCCCTGTGCCCTGGGATTTAGTGTCCTGAATTTATCTTCGAGGGGGTTAAGAAGGGCTTCACTAATCAATATTTAGTAAAATTCTACACAAAAAGGAAATAAATCATCAAACTCAACAGAGTTGGATTGCAAGTTTGTAGCTATACATAGGCTTGCCCTTTAAAGGACATGCAGTTATTTTATCTTACAAAGCACTGGTTTCAGTAATAAACATTTTTTCTACCAATTTTATATCCCCAAAATGTCACATGCAAATTAGCAAAGAGAGAGAGAGAGAGAGAGAGAGAGAGAGAGAGAGAGAGAGGAAAAAAAAATGCAACAACCTTGTGCCAGAAGTTCCTCTCCCAACTGTATCTCTTCAAGAAAGAATTTTTGAACTGCTTCAGCATCTTTTAGATCAGGCAACTACAAGAACAACATTTATCAAATCAGCCATTAAAATATCATAGCAAAATTTTCCACCCTCCCCACCCACACTTTTAAATATAATAAACTTTCAATTTCAACAAAGTTAATAATACTTAAGAATTTTTCAAGAATAAAGAGAAATTTAAAAGGAATATTACATTCCATTTTTTTTTACAAATTGTTATAAAAGCAAAAATAAACTACACCTAGAAATTGCTATAGAAATTAAGCTATCGCTTGCGAAGTACATCATCCCACAATATGCCGCGCTAATTTACATGGATGAAGAGAAATATCCATAAAAGGAAAATAGCAGAAGGTTATTTGCCCCCTCCCCAGCAGCTCCTGAATAGGCTAAGATGGGTTGGGAGCTCAAAAGGAAAGGATGCTTGCTGAAAAACTAGTTGAGGGATCTTCAATGGAAAAGGGGAAGGGGAAAAAAAGAAAGTTATTATTCTTGCTTCTCCAAAATTAGAGCTATTGGATACATGCTACAAAAGGTTGAGGGTACAATAATTTCAAGCCAGAGACCACTTTGGAAAAAAAAATACTTTATTGTATTCATTCAATTATTTTATACCACCCTACTCCAGAAATTCTTGATGATTATCAGGAGATATAAAAAAAAAACTAACACTAACACAAGAAAAGTCATCCAAACAAATCAGTAAGAATAAATAAATATAAGATCAAGCCAATATATTCACATTAGCCCCAAAGCCTGCCAGGAGAGCATATATGCAGCATAAAAAAGCATATTACTACCTTAGAAAATCCTGCTCTTTCTTTGGCAAGCTTCTGTTTCTTTCTTCCTATAGATTAAATAAGGATATATTGATTTTCAAACAATCATGCTACTTGCACTTCACGGTAATTTTCAGAAGGGAGGTCCCACCTTCACAGATTTCCATATGTACCAGAGCAAAGAACATAAGGGAGATGCTCACATGCAACATCATAAAGAATATTATCTTTTACATATAGAATAATTATTCTTGAATTATGCAAAATTGTATGTACAAGTCACTCAAGATCTTATTAAAATATTCTCATACAGATAGTCTTCGAATAATGACTGTAATGGAGTTGGCCATTACGATCAAAAGTTCTGATGACCATTAAGTGATCTCCTCACATGTGATCACTCCATTATCCCTGCCCTCCCCAATGTGGTTGTTAAATGCACGCGTTGTTAAGCAGAGCATGTAGTGCCATCCTGGAAGTGGCCATATTCTGAGTGGCTACATTGGACTGTGGCCACTGGGAAAATGGTGACCGCTTGTGGGATTGTACCAGAACTCCCAGCAATGGAGTGACTTGATTTTCTTCCCTAATATGAACTCTGGAGATCTTTGAAAGGTAAGCGAGGAGGAGGCCTACAGGGAAGCAGCCCCCAGGCCTAAAGGGATGTGATAGTGGAGGGGTTTGGGGAAAATAGATGGGAGGGTGCTGCAGTCATAAAAGTGAATGACCATGGGGGTTCTGAACAGTCGTAATTTCAGGATCAGGTCATAAGTAGCTTTTAGGGAGAGTCTGCCATAACTTGCTAAACAACCTGTTGTAAATCAAGGACTACCCTATCTATATTTCTCTTATTTTGTTCTAGCACCAAGAGACGTGTGTAATGCTTCTTGTGTGTTACAAGACACCAAGAGTCCTTAGAAATTTGATGGTTATACATAGAAATATGTCAGGAGTCAAATTTTAATCAAATGCTGTACTTAAGCTCACCCATAAGCTCTTCCATATAGGTATAGGGAGAACACCAGTAATAGAAATATCTCACAATCAGGGAGTTTTCAGCATTGTGACCCTTGCATCAATTGCAAAATAGGAAGCAAACTAATTGTTTCTTCTTACTATTATCTATTGCAGTGGTTCTCAACCTGTGGGTCGGGACCCCATTTGGGGTCGAATGACCATTTCACGGGGGCCACCAAACAAGGCTGTCCGCCATTTTTTCCCCTTTTCTTTGGCCATGCCCCTGGCACCCGGTGATGTATAAGTGGTTGGGGGTCACCACAACATGGGGAACTGTATTATGGGGTCGCGGCATTAGAAAGGTTGAGAACCACTGATCTATTGCAAATTGCTTTGGAGAAATATTTACTTTAATGACATGAAACTCATTTTAGGTATTAATGTAAACAGAAAAGTATTTTCACAATCTGGGGGGAAAGTTCTACAAGCATGCCTTTTTATTAAGGGAAAAGATAACAAAGGACATTGAGTATTTGTTGAAGAGCTGAAATAATGCAGAATTACAAAATAACATGCTGCATTTTGGATAACTCTACATTTTTCTTTTGCATTTCTCCTTATCCTGGAAGTTATTAGTGAAACAGTACCAGGAGGGTTTTGAGAATGCATGATGTGGCATGACTCTACAAGCAGGATTTGTAGATGCTGCACCTTAGCTATCAAATATTACAAAGTGAAAGTAACTATAATATATACGTAGTAATATACCAAAAACAAGAATCTTCCCCCCTCAGATTTCTTTTTCTAAGACATACAACCTTCTGTGGCATCTGGATGCCCAAACATGTTGGGGAGGGCAAATGACCACTGTGTATTTTAACTATTTTTCATGTGCATGAAGAATGGAGACATAAAACTAAGTCCTGTTTCCCAGTGGCCCTCTTTCGACTTTAATTTGCATTCAGCCAACAGGGTTAGGAGCAATGATAGGATATGCCATTACAATATTTTTGATTTTTAGTGAATAAATGTTTTAGAGGATTATATAACTTTTCTATGAATACGGAAAGTATTTGCAAAAAAAATCTCCAAACATGAAGCAGGTTTCTGAAATTTAATTGGAATGTACAGCTAGTCCTCAACTTGCAATAGTAGCCATTCAAAGTTACAAAGGCACTGAAATATGTGACTTATGACCGTTTTTCAGTTATGACCTTTGCGGCATGTAATCAATTAGTTCCTATTTATGACCACTGCTGTGTCCCAGGGTCATGTGATCACCTTTTGTGACCTTCTCATAAATCAAAGTCAATGGGGAAGACAGGTTCATTTAACAACTGGGTTACTAACTTATGAATTGCAGTGATTCACTTAACAACTGTGGCAAGAAAAGTCATAAAATGGGGCAAAACTCACTTAACAAATGTCTCTTGCAGAGAGGCAATAGAAATTTTGGGCTCAATTGCAGTTGTAAGTTGAGGACTTGTATTACCTGTATTACATATATTATAGTAATAAACATTTATGTTCATTGTTTAATTTTACAGCTCTTTTCCTAGGGCAATACTATACGATTAAAACAGCCTTGGACACAGAATTCCTGCACACACATTATGTCTCTGTATATTAAGAACATACCGTAAATGCCGGCGTACAAAGCGACCCGGCGTATAAGACGACCCCCGTCTTTATAGTCGGGCCACATTCCTAGAACGTCGTCTTATACGCCGGAAACTACCAGTATTTCCAGCGTATAAGACGACTCAGCGTATAAGACGACCCCCGTCTTTGGCGCCGATTTCAGCGCTCGCAGGAGTCATCTTATACGCTGGCATTTACGGTATATGCTTATGTGTATACAAATGTCAGGAAATGTGTTCAAAGTGGTATTCATTTCTGAATCCCAAAATTGTGGCTGGCTAACACTAAAGGTGAAGGAAATGTTGATGATGAATGAAACATTTAATTAAGCAAGCAAGCCCAGAGAGCAGTTTGACAAAAGAGTTTAGATGGGCACAATTGTTATTGGTAGGAACTAGCAAAATGTTATCAATCCAATCAGATCATCTTCTTTCGATAGAATGACTAGTATATACCTTGATTGAAAGGTGAGAAAACATTAATACATTATTTGTCAACAACAAAAATTTGAGGCGGGGTAAATAGCAAATTCCCTGGGGACAATATCAAAATTCCAGAAATTTTGCATAGGAAAATTTAAATATATGAATATAGGACAGGGATATCATACTGGGGAGCAGCGCCTACAAAAAGGGTCTGGCACTGTTGATGGATCACAAGCCAAACATGAATGTAATACAATTGCTATATATAAAAAAAAAGGAAATGCAATGTTGGGTTGCAACAAAGTAGTATAAGATCAAGATCAATTACAGGCAGTCCTTGACTTATGGCCATAATTAGGACAAGAATTTTTGATGCTAAGTGATATGGTCAAAAAGCACAATTTCATATGACCACATGGCTTAGCAACAGCAATCCCAGCATTTCCCGTTGGTGTTAATCAAATTCCATCAATCATTAGCCAAGGATCCACCCCAATCCAAGTCATTCTGGGCTTGATCCCTCCCAGCCCAAGCCTTGATTCTTCCAAAGTAAGAGACTGTCTCCCCTTCAACTTCCTATTCCCCCATCATTGCCCCTTTGACCTCACACACCCTGTCTTGAACCCTAGAACCCTGCAACTCTGGGCTCCTTATTACGCTGTGGCACAGGAACTTCTTTGCATGCCATGCCTTTGGGACTGGAAGAAGCCTGAGGCGCAGTGCAGCATGAAGCCTCAGCCACCTCAGCCCAGCATCACAGCGCAAAGCTGCAGCCACCTCAGGAAGCCCCAGCCCTCACCACTCTGCACTCCAAAGCCCCTGCTGCCCTGCACTCTGCCACTCCAGCTAACCTTCACCATCTTCTTGCTCCACTGCTAAAGGTCATATCCAGCTGGCCCTTCCTGAGACAGTTAATGGTCACATATGGCCAACTTCCCTAGGTCTGGTGAGGAAACCACTGTGTGTGATCTCGGAAATAAAGTCCAATGTGGCCAGCAGCTGCCTCACAACATGCCAAGCAGAGCATGCTTGTAGGAGCAAGATGGTTGATGTCAGCTGGGCTGGCGGAGCACAGGGGCCATGGAGGCCAAAAAGAGCATAGATGGGGAGAAAAAAGCAAGTGGGGTGAGTTGAAGGGACCCTGCGCTTGTAAGTGCAAGTAAGCTGCCAAACACCGTTGTATGATGAGAACAATGGAGGTGTAACAAAGACCATAACTTTGGAGACCGGTGGTTAAGCTCCTTTGTTAACTTCAAATGGTCATTGAATGAAGGGTCCTAAATTGACGACTACTTTTAACAATCCATTTAACCACACCTAGACTAACACGTTTAGTTCTGGGCATTTAATTTTAAGAATAACATTTACAACTGGAGTATGCCGAGAGGAAAGCAACCAAGACTGATAAAGGGCACAGAATGTAAAACATGGTTATAGGCACCGGGTATGTTTAGAAGGAAGAGAAGATTGAGGCGAGGCATAAGGGGATGGGAAAGGGAGCCATTTGCTGGGATATGCGCTAGTCAATTTGTGGAGTTAGGGCAGGACTAGATGATCTCTAGTGATCTGGGATACCCTATTTGCACCTAGTTTGCACCTGTGTGGCTCTGGTTCCTTCTCTATCCAAGGTTCCCTCTCTGGCAGGGGCCTCTCACTAAGGAAAAGACTAGCAGCCCTTAGCCGAGGACTTCTTGGACCTTGAAAACCACAAATCAGGGCATGGGAAGCGACTCTTCCAGGCATCCCGGGGGGATGACCCACACGCATCCAGCCACAAAGGGAAAGGTTAGAGAAAAAGCATTCGGGCCGTGAGAAAGGCAGGTGGGCAGGGAAGCGCGAAGTCAGCTCTCGGCGGCGTGCGCACGAGGGGAGAGGCCGAAAGACTCACGTTCCCGCAACCGGTTCTTGAAGTTGGGATCGCTCCTCCTTTTGCGGTCGAAATAGATACAATAGCCGATGAAAAGGGCGCCGCAGACGCCAGCGGCGATAGCGCTGCTCTTGCCCCCCATCATCCTGCCTTTCGCGCCCACCTCGCGCTTCCCCAGGCACCTTGGCCAGGCACGTAGGAGAGGAAAGGAAGGCCCGCCTCGCGCAGGCACTCCGTCATCAGCCGGCGACAGCAAGAGGCTCGCTTTGCCTAGGGCAGGGGTAGGCAACCTTGGCCCTTTTATGACTGGCTGGCTCAGGAATTCTGGGAGTTGAAGTCCACGAGTCATAAAAGAGCGAAGGTTGCCTACCCCTGGCCTAGGGCGAGCATTTGAGAAGCGAAGACCGGGCACGTCCTGCCTGAAATGCGCCTGTGCATTTCAGAAATCCCACCCCCCCCAAACTTTGTATTATGCGTGCGGGAAGGATTCGCACGAGGTTACCTCCGTTTCCGTAGCTGCAGGAAAATTGGTTGCATCAACGGGCTTATTCAGAAATAATTCTCTTTATGGAATTGATCTGGACGGGAAGCGTGCAAATCAACCCGTTGCTGTCTCTCAGCATTAAGTCGAAATTAATGCTAAATTATTTACCATCAACGATAAACTGAAGCATACTAACGTGGGAGAACAGAGAAAACAATTATAATTTTGTCCGAATCAGGCCATAATTTTACATATTACTGGAAACCAGGAAACATACGTTTTATTAGAATACCCTGGTCCCTCATGGCAATTACAATAAAAGGAAAGCCTGGTACAAGATACATGACACCAGTTAGATTAGAGAAAATGTTTAAAAATGTATCAAATATGTGTTGGAAATGTAAACAACAACCAGGCACTTATTACCATCTCTGGTGGATATGTCCTAATGTTAAAAAAAAATGGTTTATGATCCATGTGTGGCTAGAAGAGATTATTAAAATACAGATAGAATTTAAACCAGAACACTGTTAGGAATATTAGGTTTGAATTATGGAAAAGAGAATTATTTAATATTGCATGTGCTGACAGCTGCAAGAATATTTGCCCAATTTTGGAAAAATGAAAATTTACCATCTGACCAGGCTATAATAACAAAAATACTTGAATGTGCAGAAATGGATAGACTGACTTTAGAAATGAAAAATATGACACAATTTACTTTAAAACATGGGGAGAATTTTATTATTGGTTAGAAACATGCTAGAGTGAGAAAAGGTTATGAAATTTAAAGAGATAATTGATAATTTGTATTTATATTCCATGATTATTTGTATGAACTTGTTCTTATTCTTCCTCTTTGTATATTTGTGATCTTAAATAATATGGTAAACTATAATTAATATGTAGTATATTATTATTTTAAAGTGATTATAATTAATATTAAGCATTATTAAGTAGTGAAATGAATGAGATTTATTGACTAATTTGTTATTTACATGATTATATGGAAAGTTGTTTAATAATAGAGTAATTATTAAGATTTAATATGTAAACCCGGACTGGTAGACTTGCTGAAGCGATGTTATTTTGTGGGATTAATCCCACTTTTGTGTTATCCCTTTTCCCTGGTCTAACCTTTTTGTATGTTTCCCGTTGTCTTACCCTTTTTGACCCTATCCCCTTATTACCTTTATAAAACTCAATAAAAATATTTATAAAAAAAAGATACATGCTTTCATGCTATGAATAAAAAGAGGCAACTAGATACTAAATACTGACTTTGAAAAAGGCAAATAAAGCCATTGGAACAAAATTACTATAGGCATATTCTGCTTTTTTCCATGGGGAAAAAGCTCTAACCGTAGAATTCTGACACCATTAAATCACTACCAAGATAATCTGTAATCAAATAATGTTAATAAAATGCATGTAAGAATAGTAAAAAAAATATTGTCTAAAAGAAAAATAATATTAATGGCTACAGAAGAGCATTCACAAAGCTTCCCATATATGATCTGAAGTTGAATAGATGGACTCTTAAAAATCAACCTTTCAAGAAATAGTTGATGTTGTACAGTGCTTCTTAAAGATTTGAAAACTCTAGTATTAGATACTAAATGAAGGTTGAGTTAAATAGCATTTATTCCCTACATAATCCCTTCAAAAGAATATGTAATTAACATCACAGCCAGCAATGTGAAAACTGAGGATGATCAGATTAGATTAATAAATGGCCAGGTTATCATAAAAAAATCTATTACTGAATACACAGAAAGACCTTAAATTATTCATAGTTATTGCACACACATTTAACAGAAAGGACAAATAAACATGACAAAGAATACACTTGTAAATAATTAATTGCCTCTTATTAGAACCCTTTAAGAGAGGCTTTCTGGTATTTATTTACAATATAATAGATGAAAGGCTATTAAAGTAGTCATAAATTACTGGTGGGACATTTTTAATTTATCTTCCAATATTACCTTTGCAAATTAATTTAGATGACCTTCTAAATTGTGAAAGTGGAGATAAAATATGTAAGAATTCCAAAAGATTGTCTATGTGATAAGTTTTATTGAAAAATATCTTAACATTGCAGAGTAACTGTGTCATTTGGGTTTCCTCATTTTCATGCTGTTTTTTGATTTCGCTTTTTTGCTCTTTTTCATTGGGTCTGCCTTTTCACCAACAAAAGAATTAGAAGATCCTTTCGATTTTTTTAGAGAAATAGTCTTTGTGTATTTCAATTGAACAGAGCTCTTTACATTTTTGTTTGATTTCTTCTGTTCTTCTTTCTCTCTTTGTACACAACGTTGCACTCTTAGCTTTCTTCCTTGTAATTCAGATTGGTTTAGTTTCAGAGCAAGGTGTACAGCATCTGTGGTCTTTAAGGAGAAAAAAAAAATAAGAGAATAACTCATAAAATTTCTCTTACATGGACTGAGAAGGGGAGGGGAATTTCCTCATCACAATACAACCCCATGCCTTCTTAACAGATGATTTGGAGACACTTCAGAGCAGATCTGCACAGTACATAATAAGAAGACAAAAAATAATTCCCTCAAGGAAGCAGACATCCAATCACTTAATGCCACATTCTATTCTAATTAAACTGCCCTTTAATTTCAAGCATGGCAGGCTGGGAAATTCAACTATGTACAAGGACTTGTATCATGACATGAATCAGTTTTGCTGTTGCAGACCCATTAGCTACAGTTGTCACAAGAGACAACACAGAAGAGCTCTCTTATAATGCTATTTTTGATTACTGCAAATGAAAGGATTTCTATTTTTCCCAAATAACTATGCAAAGTATTCATGTTTTGGGATACACCGGAAATAAGTGTAAATGTGTAAAAAGTAAGAAAGAATGAAATAAGCTAACAGAATGATTTGAAAATTAGTGCTCTATTATAGCATTGCCTGTTGTTTTCAAGACTTTGCTGATTTGTGCCATCCAAGGCACAGATATACCCATCTCACCATTTTTAATGGCCAGATTTTTAATTACTGTTGTTATTTCAACAGACAATAAAATAATGGCTAGCTAGTTGAGCATTCAACCCCCAGATTATCCTGTTTCAGGTTTTATTCCTGGAAGAACATTATTGATGACTGATTTACACTTATTCTAATCCTCTTAATAACTATTACTGGATGAAAAAAGATTACCATCTTTGAAAATGGCGTAAGCATGCAATATTCATGTAAATATTTGATGATTTGGTGCTCTCTTTGTGAAGTTACAAGGGAGATGTCTAGATATGGGTATTAGTGCAGTTCTGTGTAGTTTCAATAAATTATTTAGGAGATGCCTAATTATACCTAATTGTTTACCATGATGTTTTACTGTGTGGCTATTCCCTGAGTGCAACACTGAATGCTAGATTAAATAACCAATATAGTTATGATTTAAAGCCACGCTAAATGCGTTGTTGCAGCTATTGAATAACTGACATACCTCAAATAGAACATAACCAAATCCTTTGCCGATGCCTGTGTTTCGATCTCTCACAATTCGTACACCTGTCACACTGCCACATTCCAAAAAATGATTTCTGATAGTCTCATCATCAATTTCTGTAAATATAACATCTTTCAGAAATATGCAGCTATTTTAACACAACAATTTTACGACATGACCAAATTCCTATTCCTATTTAAAATTTCTATTCTTCTTTAAACAAATACAAATATAGTTGCGGCCTCTCAAAGTTATCCGCTTAAAAGAAAGATTAAGGCTACTGGGACAGTGTTGGCAAAGAAATAGCTCTATATCCCTTACTTATGTTTTAGTTATCTTATTTTGGCATACAAATTTACCAATTCAAAGCAACTTTTTTTGCTTTATCTGCATTTGTAGATATGTTTATAGATAATTATAAATCAAGAACTTAAAAAACAAAATTCAGCTTGGGACTAAAAGAAACAAGTAAGCTGAGACATTCTGGCTTGAAGAGGTGTTACTTAGTGTTAATTGCAAACCAGTCTTCCAGTAGTTGTCACAATACCTACATGTATACTTTTCAGCCACTTTTGACAAAGAAACTAGTACGTTTCACCTTCTACATTTAAGTTTGTTGTTAATATCTTTACAAATATACTCACTCCATTAATCTGCAAAAGTATAATTTTCTACCAAAGTAATGTGCATTTCTTTGAATTGATTAACATTAAATTATAATACATACCATAAGGCAGATTTCCTACGAATATTGATTTTTTATTATCATGCTGTAAAACAAACAACAAAAAGAACTAACTCAGGAACTTAGAGAAAAAACTAAAATATATATATATAGCAATTGAATTATGTCTATGGAGATTGTCAGTCATGTCATCGTTGTCCCAAAGATGCTTTTTCAAAAAGCAACTGGATTTTGTTTTTCCTTGAAGACGTTTGGCTTCTCATCCAAAACGTTTCTTCAGTTCTGAAGCTGCCTTTTGAAAAAGCATCTTTGTGACAGCATTTGAATTACTCACACAAGTAGATTTTGAAGCAAGGTCAACTCTGATATGGAATCCACTGGTAATTTCTGTTCCATTACTATGAAACCATAAAAAAATAAAGTAACAATATAAATTACCCTAAGTTTGATCTGAACATTGTTTATTTTAGAAATAGTGTTTAATAATTAAGACTGATATATCTTAAACAACATGGAAATTAAAGTAAACATACCATTTTAAGGCATTGTTTGCTGCAGATTCCTCCCTAAAAACAACGTAAGCATTAACAT